CTCCAAACTCTCATTACACTAACACTTTACGAGCTACATTAACAAGATATAAGCTTTTGGTAAAACAGTGACAATATAAAAAGCAAAGTACATAAATCACCTACGCATGACAAAAAATACAGTAATAACTTACAGGAGCTGACGACATAGTCACTAAACATGAGATTTAACCTCTCTCAAACATTCATACCTGTTTTTGTTTTTTTTATTTTTTTAAACTTGAGAAATACGTATAGAACAAGTTTTACCACTCTTGTTGGGACGTGCAGAAAACGTTATAACACCATGTTTAAGACAGACCACATGCATCTGTTAGCATATCTGTCTGATAACAAAGAAAACGACCTTCATGGGTGTCTGCGATGGACAAAGTGCATCGTATCACTTTTTATCCTCCATCACCACTTGACTAAGAGCACAACAAGAAACTGGACAACAAGAGAGAAGCACGGTTTCTCAAAATCTAAAGGACGTTTTGGAAAACGTATAGACATTTTTGTCGACTTGTGGACAGCCATAGGGTTCTGAACAATAAGGGAAGTCTGTACCAATGCTTTATCAAATATTGGTTTGAATTATCCATTAAGTCTATCAATCTCAAGCTGATTCAAAGTGGGCGAGATGGCAAAAAAATCATACGTTGACACAGACACAGTGCACTAGTAGTGCCACATTTTAAAAAACTCTGGATACAATATTTTTTATTCAGCTATTCACATTCTGTACTGCTCTACATCCAATTAAACAGGACTAATTATGTTCTCTTTTTAATAAAACATAGTTTGTCAGTGTTCTTTAAGTACTGACAATATCAACACTGTACTCCGAAAAGCACATTGTGTATAGCAATATTAAACTTGATCACAATAACTATAAAATATCATCATATTTCCCACCTACAATGCTAATAAATGTTTTATTTAACAACTAATGGCCGGCATGATTGACAATATCATCGTGTGTCTCTATTGTATATGAAGGGAACAACACTTCACCACTTAGAAAGATGCACCAACATCTAAAATCATGTACTACCACTCTAAATAGCATGCCAAAATAATACTCCAAAAAGTTCAGCGTGTCTAAAGCAAGTATTCATCAAATAGCAAACAAAAAGTACACAAATGTTGTAGTAAATCTGGTCAAAATCTGTGCACTATTCAGGCGTAATACTCCAAAGAAGTATAACAATTCACATATTTTCAAGCTCAAGATTTTCTCATATACGTTAAAAACTATATAGAACTCTACTATAGGAGCTCTCAAATTGCAAGGTGTAAAGTGTGGAGTGGCGACTAGCTGTGATGATGTAGTCAGAAAAAGTTCCACGTTCACATGATTATTGTGAGGAGACCAGTATGTATTACCGCTGTAAATAAGTATGTAGTACTAGAGCTCGAACACAGCGCCTTGGGTTCAGTCTCAGTGCCTTAGAGACAACCTCTCTCCCTAAGCCGTCGACAGCTTGGTCTGGGAGCTTTATCAGACTGACCATGCTGAACGTTAAATGGCTTAAGCATGTGGTCTAATGTGCATAATACTGTATTGAGCTGGTGACCTATAGTATTGATTCATCATGTGAGCCTATATGAAATTGCTGGTTATGTAATACCACTGTTCAGTGCAATGGGCGACTACATAATCCATGATTTTCCTGTCTGGTATAATAGTACTATGTGTGAAAAAAAAAACAACATCCGCCCACCCACAACTACAGTCCCGCAATGCTTAAATCTGGCCGCTGGTGACATTTAGAAGTGGTTTAGTTCCATTTTAAGTGTCTGTTCGTGCTGGCCCTGTCTGTTTATATTGATACTGAACATAAAGAGGGAAAAGACAAGCGAAAGAAAAGCACACTTGAGTTTTATAGCCTAAGCCTGATTTAATTACCAACTGGAGAGGCTGTGGAGCCAAAACATTGACTAATCAGTTAATTATATTAAGCATACGGAGCTTAGGAGCACGTTTTTCCTGTTCTTTCCAAGTCACCTCAAAAAATATTGGCAGATTGTCATTAGCCCAGAGTAACTGCTTTAGATATTCTCTCACGACACTCACTCAGCGGTCCTCCATAGACTGCCCACCTGTACTCGAGAGATGAGCAGCTTATGGGTGTCTACTTTGGAAAACTGCTCTTACTAGACCCGTTAGAACAAGTATTACAAGTTTTCTCAAATCTTGAAAGGATTTGTGATCTGTCTTCATTAGTCACGAGAGGCAAAGCACAACAGCTAATCCAGCTGCCCATTATGAATGTTTGTTCTACTTTAGCAAGTGAACAGTGTTTTCACGGAGCAGTTACAGCTGTTATAGCACGTTTTTATAGAAAACTTGTCCCTTCAGGGAGGATGTGTTGGTTCCCAAGGCAGATAAAACTTGTTGACTGTCTTACTCTTATGACTATTAGCTCTACTTTAGCATGTAGCAATGCTGTCCATTCAGAATGGATGTGTGAACAGATAAAACATAATAACTGCCTGTTTTATGAAGGCTGCATACAGTTTGGCAAGTAAACCACGTTTCCATGAAGCAGCCAAAACACTTCTTTCTAGCTTTTTCCTAATCTTATCTCTTCTGAAAAGATATGTGGGCTCTCTTCATTAGCCCTGACAGATAAACAGGATAACTGATCCTGCTGCCTGTTATGAGTGTTAGTTCTGCTTTACTATGACTTCATGATCCACTTAAAGAAGCCATTGCTAGTTTTCTTTCATTACTCACTTAATTTATTATTTTTTGTATTTTCTTTTACAAAAAAAGTTGTCCCTTCAGGGGTTATTTGTAGGTTTCCAAGACAAAACAAAATAGTCGCGTTGCCCTCTAGCAAGTAGTATTTGCCCCCTGAGCCACTATGGAACTGAGGCACTGGGGGAAACTGAATGACAATGGTTCATTCCCAGGTCACTGTAGGCAGATTAAGCTTACAATACACAGGTTTTATTTTTGCTTATGAGCCATTAGACCCTTAGGAAAAAGACAGACAGCAGTAATATAGTCATTTCAGACCACTATAGCACACTTCAGGATACAGCACACGTGAGACAGATTAGATTAATATAACGCAGCACTACATGAGGTGAAATATAACACAATATAAAAGCATTAGCCTATACAGCACTATGGTAATCTTATGGCTAATTTTAGTAGTACTATAGATCTTGTTTTGCTTGAGCGGAGCCCCAAATGACTCTTTCTCACGTTACTGACAGAAAATCATGACCTGATGAGCTCCACTTGTTACAAAACAGTGACCATGTTTGGCTGCTCCAGCCGGAGAGACACACGATTACAGTCTCCCATTCAGCTGCGGAGGACACAGACCAACAAGTTGGCGGACGAGGAGGTTAAAAACTACGGCCGCGCACCGACACCGTAGTGAGGACAGGACAGGGTGGGATAGGATAGGATGTGATAGGGTAGGACAGGGCAGGATAGGCTACTTACGTATCGGCTGATGAGGTTCCTAATCGTGCTAAAATCCATCCTCCTTCAGCCGGTCCCCGCCGCCGCTTTACCTTCGTCTTCTCCTCGGGTCTTCGGGGTCGTATGTGTGTATGTAACGCTAGCTGACTCTGTTCTTCTCCATGGTCCGCTCTGGTCTGCTCTGTCTGACGCTCTTCCTCCTCCGGGACTGACAAGAGACGGCACAGCGCGGCTAACTGGGCTCTTTTCTTCTTCTTTCAGGTGTCTAACTGTCTCCACTTGCAGTTACGAATGTGGGAGTCCAAACGTTGTCATATTCTTCTTGGGGCTCCGCGCGCACCTCGCCGTTAGCCGTTAACCGTCTCCCGAGAGAAGCCCTCGGTCTTAAAGGGCTTTGATCGAGGGCTGAAGGAAGGCTACTTCTTCCTGGACAAGTGTCTTCAAGCGAAGATCGTATAGCGGCTCTGCCGTGTTCTCCTTTTCTCTCTCCCTCTCCCTCTCCCTCCTTTTCTCTCTCTCTCTCTCGCTCGCTCTCTCTCTCTCCCCTCCCTCCCTCTCTCTCTATCTCTCTCTCTCGCTTACCCCGTACTGCTGTCCACTCTCCTCCGCAGCCAATCAGATTCTTCTCTACAACAACGTCACGGATGCTCGAGACGCATGCGCATTGCCCGCCACACCCTCCCGCCCAAACGTGTAGAAGTGGAGCTGTGCTCTCTGGAGTGATGGAGCTCCGTCCCATACAGCTCTGGGACGGGTTAGCGTGCAGTTTCTGATCCAGAGCTGATCATCCACCATCAGGACTTGACCTCACAGATGCTCTCTCTCGTGATTGAATGCAATCAAAACCTCACAGCAAATGTTCCGGCATCTAATGTAAAGCCTTCCCATAAAGAAGGCAGCAAAGTCCCTATTGATACCTTATTAAAACTGGATGAGCAGGAATCTACACATTTTAGGACTTATAACTAGCGCATCGTAAAAACGTTATTATCATATGATCGAGAACAAAAAAGAGAAGTGAGAAAAAAGAAATGCAAAGAGATGCAAATTGTCCTATTTGCCCCAAAATATTAGGATTTTAAGTGAAATCAGAAGGACTGATTTCGCTTATTAGCAGAACATGAGAGACAACCAGATTGTTGTTATTAAAAATTGTAAGAACTCCTGAAATGTTGAAAACAGGTGTTTCACTATCACCACCAGCTCCCACAACAAAACTATCAGCGAGACTGAATTTGCTGTAGTCTCTTCTTATCAACGACGTGATCGACTAAAAATGGGTTCACCTTTTTAAGACTGATGTCGCCTTAAATCATCTGAAAAAACGACAAGTGAGAATAATTATTACACTCTTTTTAATTACATGAGCACGACTTTATCCACCATGCACAACAAAAATATACATCCTATTATATAAACGTTTATAGCGATATAAAGTTGATTAAAACATGGCATTTAGTTTCTACTTTAGTGCTGTCTATTTTTTTGTTTCCCGCGCTGGGTTGCTTGTCATTTTACTGGTGGGAACGAAAGGCTAGGAACCCTTGGTGTGTTCTCGTTTCTCAGTGGGCCGTATTTTCACTCCGCCGTGTTTTTTTCCCGCTCCGTTAGCAGCAGCGGCCGCCTTTTTCGGCGGGTTCTGTTAAAATGGCGAGCCGATGGAGGAGTAACGAGAGCGGACAGGCGTGAGCCAGACCCCCTAGACCTCCAAGACCTCCTTTTTTGACGTCTAGAGAAGGGACCCGATGGCAGCCCTGGATCAGAAATCGCCCAATGTGCTTCTGCAGAGCCTGTGCTGCAGGATCACCGGCAAGAGCGAAGGTACCGAGGAGCAGAACCGAGCAGCTAAGCTAACGATAACTAGCCAACATTCAGCACATCACAGCCGCCTGTCTCCTCATTCCTGTCTAATGTGTACGGACGTGTGGCTTATTTAACAATACTCAGAACCATTTAGCTCGCAATTTACTGAGTCTGTTAGGTTGTCTTGCTTTATGAAGATCGTCTTCAGTGATATGAGCAGCGCTGACAGTGAGCATCCTTTTTATTTACGTTCGTTTACAGTAGCTACGTTAACAGCGGGACTATGTTTACTTTACACAGCTGATGTCATGATCAGGGAAAGTTTAAATGGTCCTGAGCTTAATTTAAAAGCATAGCTGACCATTAATCGCCTAATTGTTATCTAGCCAGCTAGTACACCGATATCTTGTCAAAGCTAGCGTAGCTCAGATAGCAGGGCTGAATCTAAAATGAGATAAGGATGGCCATACTGTGACACCGCGAGTCGACGTTGTCATTTAGAGATGCACTGCTTTTAAAGAAGGGATGCAGCCTGCGTTGATCCTGAAATGGTGTAGTTATTCAGGCAAACCAACCTAATGTTGGAGTTGACAGCTGGATTGTTAATATACAAACGTTAGCTTATATATGTAAGTGTATCTAGACACTCCTACGTATTACTGACACTGGGGTTTAGTTGCGCTTTATCTCCATAGAAAAGCATTGCCAATAGTTTTTGACACTCTGGAGCAGCCACACATGAGCCTAAAGTCAGAATGCCCAATGCCAAGCATCGGCTGGAGGGCTGTAAAGCCCCCCAGCATTGGGCTGTGGTACAGTGGAACTGTGTTGTCTGGAGTGATGGCCAATATCGAATACCTTTGGGACGACTTGGAGTAGAGTTTGTGTTCCTGATCGTCCAACATCAGTACCTGACCTCACTAATGCTCTTGTGGCTGAATTCAATCTAGTCATCACAGCAATGTTCTAATATATAATGTAAAGCCTTCCCAGAAGAGTACAGACTGTTACTGCGTCAAATAGTTGGACAATCTCTCTGTTAATATCTTTGATTTGTAAAGAAGCATCGCCTGAACAGGTGTCTACATAAATTTGGGCATATAAAGTGGAGGTGGGCAATATAGCAAATATCTGATATTGAGATACTTTAAGAAATTTTCACGATATGGCACAATGTTTTTTCAGACATATGATTAGTTGGAACAGTAGTGCTACGTTTAAAAAAATTTAAAAAAACTCAATAATCAATATTTAGCGTACTTTGTTGCACTGAATCCAGTTAAACGGGACTAATTTTGCTGTCTTTATAACGAAACATGCAATTGGTCAATGTTCTATAAGTACTGTCTATAGACACAGTGTGTTGTTTATTATAGCTTATTGTATTGTATTGTGACATAATTTATCACTTTAGATAAATAGTCATATTGCCCAGCCCTGACATATTGTACATTGGCAGGCCTCTAAGTTAGTTCAGTAGGATTGTAGCTCCATAGTTATGCTACCATCAGTTACCATACAGAAAAGTTGTCATATAAGCGATTGTAAGTCAGAACTAAATCGACTTATGAAGAGACTTCTGCTCTGAAAGCTCTCAAGGCCTTCAGTAATATGACCCCCTCTGAAAATGAGGTAAAAAACGATTAGATAAATGGCTGTTAGATAAATATAGTCTGTATATATGGACCTTAATCCGACATTATGAGGTGCAGTATTGATTACATTAACTGTGTCTGCTCATTGGATGTGGCGTCTAGCTTTCTGCCTGTTTGCTTAATTTTCCACCCTGTATGCAGGAAATAGTGAAAATCAAGCAAAGGGCCTATTAGGACGTATGACACGTGCATCGCTGAATTCACTGACCTTCTTTTTTCCAGCTGATGTGGCGCACCAGTTTCAGTATGCTGTGCGGGTCATCGGGAGCAATTACGCCCCCACCATTGAACGGGACGAGTTCCTGGTCTCTGAAAAGATCAAAAAAGAGTGTGAGTGCCATGATGAACGTTATATCGTGCTTGCTTTTTTTGGCGAAGGCATTTTTAACATTATGGCGCCACAGAACACTCTAAGCATCATGTCTGTCTTCTGACATTTGTAGCCTAATATCTCAGCCAGAAATGTCGAAGCTAAAGGGCGCCTAGACTATTGAGAACAGTTGAAGAGGGAATTGTCTACATCTAATCATAGATTATATGCTTAATAGAGCTGGAAATCACTCGAAAATGCACTTGTGACTGAGTTCTGCTTGTTTCTTTACTCTCCTATAGTGTTAAAGCAGAGGCGAGAGGCAGATGCAGCTCTCTTTTCAGAGCTCCACCGAAAACTCCAGACCCAGGTCAGTATCAGATTCATAAGTGCATCAGATGTAAAGACTGTTTATGTGTAACAGCTACCTAGTAGCGGTGGGTAATATAATGACATGATATTGTTTCATGATAAGTTACATCATGATACTCAAACATAAATGTGTCACTTCTGTTGCATTTTGTCTGTTTCAACTTATCAAATCCTGAAAAATATATGAAAAAAAAAGGATCTTTTAGTTTTACATGCAGATTTGTGCTTCTTTGGCTAGGCAGTCCTGAAACAAAGTGATTTGTGCTTTGTCTGGTCTTTCTTACGAGCAGGGGGTGCTGAAACACAGGTGGTCAATCTTATATCTACTACTCAGCCTTTGTGAGGACCCCAGGAAACCGTCCAGTCGGGTATCTACACTAATTTAATTTTCTCTTTATTTGTTTTAGCATATTTTATTTTGATTGTGCAGGCATGTCCAGATGTATGACAATTTGAAGAGGTAGTGAATAGAGGTGTATATTATGTAATATGTAATAATTAGCAAGACTTAAGAAACGGATATCCAGTTAACCACAGGAAAGGCAAGAAAAGGTACTTTGGCTGAAATTGACATAGAGCTGGAGCTGGAGGCTTACTCTTTTAGATCATATCACTGATTTAAATAGACTTAAAAAAAAATCAGTTGCACAAAAACTTGCAAGCAGGAAAAAGTGTGAAAACAGTGGTTTTCATGTTTGATGAAATGGAGGCTGCCTCTTCAGACGTTCACTGATTGGTACAACACTGGACACAGATAAGTACTCGTTATCTTGCACAAGGCCTTTTCTCCTCAGTGGACAATGTGCCAGAATGTCAGGCTGTCAGGAAAAATATATTTCCCCTGTTTCTGGACCAAGCTCGTATCAGCTGGACTAATTGGCCTAGTTAGCAATAAAGCCACGCTGATTGTGAATCTGCCTTCACAATCACATCCTTAGCAACACACTCACATTTAGGCATCAGTGATCTGTATAATTTCTCCATCCTCCTGTGCTGAACTGGAACTAGTACCTGAATCATGATTTCAGTATTTGAATACTGGCGGCTTAAATGGTTATCCGAGTACTGAAACACCCATGCGCATCCCTAGTCGTGGGCAAGATTAGCACATATTTAATAATAACTCATAACTTGACATATGTCATACCTTTTGGGACAAACTTTACTACTATAAATCTAATTCATATACATAGACTGAATTCAGTTGGTTAAGTGCATTGTGTGCAGTCATTTAAATGGCATAGTGTCAACAGTCCCTTTTTTTCTCCACAGGTGGGTAGCTATGGTGCCGTCTTTGCCCAGGCATTGCCACGTGATGCCCACTCCACGCCATTCTACTATGCTCGGCCACAGAGCCTGTCCCTTAGCTACCCCGAGCGATCGGTGCTGGCCGCCCACAACGCCTCTAGCATGGGCACCAGCGGCATCGGCAGCTTGGGGGTGTATCCTGTCAATGGACCTGGCCCGAGCCCTCAGTCCCTTCTTACTGGGTGAGCCAAACGTTTAACATGAAGCTAGTAGTAGCAGCTCGAAGTCTGAATTTCATCTATACTTTGGTCCATTTGTACTTATAAGAGGTACAGTTAAGGGAACAGTAATCGCATAATCAAGTTTATTTGAGATTACTGAACAGCCTTGTGATTTGAGGCAAGCGTGTGATGATTTAGGCATGTAGTTTGCACAATGCTAATTGGTTAATATAAGCTTCTGTTTCTTCTTAGCTTTATTAGCTTTGTGGCACTAGTACAAAACTAAAGAAGACTTCAGACAAGTGTCTTTATTTCAATCAGACTTTTTATTTGATTTGACAAACTGTTCCTTTAAAATGCTAAATTCTGATTGGCTAACAGTGAATGAAAACTGTGCTACCAGCCTCTGCTCACTTTGCAGTCATTCCAAACAACATTAGCCTTTTTAGGTGAGTTATAGCACTTATATACTGCTTCACAGTCAGAAACCTAAATATGAATATAGTAATTTATATGTAAGGTATTGAGAGTTTGTCCTCATTTTATCAAAACAGTAGTTTCTCCACTACAGTCCCCTTATTACTGAGAGAGTGGGGGTCGGACCTGTCGATTAAATGAAGCATATAGGAAGACTTGAGCATGCAGCAGTGCTAATGGATTTTGTAGCATCGTAATATGATTAAACACTTTAGGGACCACTTAATGTTTTCATGCGACATGGCTAAAGGCAAGTTTCTGACATATGTCAGACATTTGTGGATTGGTGAAGCAATATAGAAGGCATAAGCGAGTAAACCGTGGGCTTAGACCTTCACTCTTCCGGCAGTGAGCTAAATCTGTGGAAGGGAGGAAAGCAAAAGCTTGCCAGATGCATAGGTAAGCTTTAAATGGTATGCATTTTATTGCTGCCCTGTATATTATGTGCCTGGTATGTTGTGCGGCAGTCAAAAGATGGATGTACAGTTCTATGCAAAAGTTTGGGCACGCCCTGATCACATTATATATGTTACTGTGAAAATAAGTAACAAATTTCTGTAAACGTTAATGCGCAATTACCTTATATTTGACTAAAAAAATGAATGAATAAAATAGTAACTGTGTCGTGCAAACATTTAAACACCCTACTAAGTCAGTACATAGTAACACCCCCTTTGGCAGATATCACAGCTTGCAAATGCTCTTTGTAGCCAGCTAGGAGTCTTTCTGTTTTGGTTTTAGGAATTTTTTAGAATGCAGCTAGTTCTGTGCTACTCTTGGGCTGTTTTGCATGCACAGCATGTTTAGGATCTACCCACAGATTTTCAAAGATGTTTAAGTCAGTGGACTTTGAGGGCCTTTCCAAAATCTCCAGGTTGCATTTCTTGAAGTGGTTCATGGAAGATTTTGAGATATAATTGGATCATTGTGCTGTTGTAGAAGCCAGCCTCTTTTCAGCTTCAGTTTCTTGACTGTGTCACATCAACTTCCAGATTTGCTAATATTTAAAGGAATCCAATCTTTGCAGTTTCCTATGCCACTTTGCTACCATACAACCCCAGAGCATAATAGATCCACCCCTGTGCTTAACAGTTGGGAAGGTGTTCTTTTCATCAAATGTTGCTCCTATTTTTCCTCTAAACATACCTTTGTGGTTGTCGTCAAAGTGTTTAATTTTTACTTCATCAGTCAGCAGCTTTTCTACTATCTATACTGAATAAAAATATAAATACAGTGTCTATGGTTTTGCTCCCATTTTGCAGTAAAAATTAGGATTTTTCCCTAGAAATGTCACTGTTGTTATAAGCAAATGGTGGTCTCATCAGATACTAATGTGAAAATGTTAAAATCTTTTCAGTTAAAAGTGCTGCATTTATTCTTTGTTCAGTGTAGGTGTTGTTTTGCATACTTCAGACATTGCCTTTTCTGGTGAGTTTGCAGGAAAGGTTTTCTTCTGATGAATCTTCTATGCAGATCACGTTTGTGCAACAGCGCAGCACAGTAGAACAGTGCACCACCACTCCTGTGTCAGTTAAACCTGCAGGTCGTTGGCTGTCATATGAGGGTTTTGCTTTGTCTTTTTAGCCAGCATACTAGCAGTTCTGTCTGAGAGTTTTCTTGATCTTGTCTTGACTTCCACAGTTCCTCTTAAAAAAAAAACCTACTACTCCATATTCAGTCCACTATATGGGTCATTCATTTTTGCACCCTCTGTGATGCGCCAGTTTAAAATGGTTGTCACTTGGGATCCAAAATATGTCATTTGGTTTGGGATGGAAAACTGCAAACCCTGTACGGTTCTGGGCTCTTCCTCTTGGTATGGGCTGTGTTTCTTGTCCCTGACTTATCTATGTGTTGTGTCTGTCTTACTTGAAGCAGCATTTTTAATTGCACTGTAATCACTGAATTATTAACACCTTTTGCCATTAACTGCGAGCACTCTGGCTATTTAAAGCACAGCTATATGTTCTCAAGGCCTGGGCATAATTGATGACTGAATCCTTTAAACGGTAAATCTGTCAGGGCTTAAGCATCACTGTGGCGTTGGAATTTCAGTTTCGCTCTTCGTTGTCATTTCTCACTGTTTAAAATGGGCCATTAAAAGGTAATTAGTGTGTTCTCCTGAGCTTTGGTAATGGAATCATAATGACATGGCTTTAGAGGAGAGTGGCGTTTGGAATGTGTTTGTCCTTAGTAAAAAGAGAATATTGCCTTTTTATGTTTTAGAAATCTTTCTGAAAGTAGGTCTTCCTTAAACACGGTTCGTCTAATTGTCTCAATAACTCAAGAGCAGTGACTTAAATTCTCAGTCCTTTTGTTATTGAGCTTATGTAGTGCCATGAAGATGTATTACCACACATTGTTTAATGGGGTATAAGTGCATTCAGTGTGCCCCCACCCAAACTTACTTAGTGAGGAACCACCAAAGCAGACCTTAGGATCAGTCAAAAGTTTGATTACATCTGATTTGAATGTATGTTTTTCATAATATTAGGCTTTGTTCACACTGCAGGGAGAAGCAGCCCACATCCCATCTTTCTCTAAACATATCGCTTAGATTTGTTTCTAAATGCATTTTCAGTTCTGATTCTTGCAGAGCAGAATTCTTGCGACTTTTATCTCAGTCCAAATCAGTCTGTCCTTATAATTTCACATGCACAAGAATAGGTACCTTAAGGCAACGTCATCAAAGTGCCTGTGACTGTGGTAACGCTTCACATCTTTTGCTTTGGAGGATTAGGGAGACAAGTGCAGCAGTGTAAACAAATAAGCACAGCACTTCCTACCAAGAGGAATCAAACAAATAGCTTTTCAAAGTCAGGTTTACTTTAAAGGTATTAAAGGTATTTTGAAATGAAAGAGTGAAATAGAATAGACAAATGAGGCCCACGCAGATCAAGTGTCTTTATTTAGTAGAAATGAGTTTGTGTCTCTTGCTAGGCATTCAAATGAAGGAAAAAGGTCCTTTTTGGTTTCATCGGCTCCTACAATAAAAAACAAGTTCACCTATTAACTCTTTTCTGAGAAGTTTGTTCAACATGGTTGTTTTTGTGTCTAAGTAGTAGTTCACACAGCTCAATTCAATGTTGCGTGAAAGGAGTCTATTAATATATAGAGGACAACTGTATTTGTTGGATAAGTATACTGGGTGGATTGTTCTATTGTGCATGTAGGTCAGTTCTACAGTGTGATCTGTTCAGACTAATGCCAGATGTGGGCTACATTTAAAAGGACTGCACCACCAAATGAACATCTTTTATGGGTTAGGGTTAATGAGGATGTAAAAATAAGCAAGTCCTCTACGTCAGATATATTTTAAAGGAGGACTTGCTCATTCATAAACATCATGGTTGCTTCAATGTTTTTCTTACTATGAAGACTTCCTTTGCATTGAATTTGGAAGTGTGAAAAGGGTCTACTGTTCTAAAATGAAAAATGATTAACATACAGAAAGGCCTTAGTAGGTGTGTCCAGACTTTTGACTGCTTTTGTGTATTGATAGATACTGTTTAGGAGGTTTAAGCCTAAATGAAGTTTGCAGTGGTTACAGTGCGAATTTGATACACTTGTTTAGTAAGGAACAATAGCTTGTTTCTTAGTGTATGTAATCTGATGTTTGTGTGTGTGTGTGTGTGTGTGTGTGTGTGTGTGTGTGTGTGTGTTTTAGCTCTGGTGCTCAGCCTGTAACTGACCCTGCCAGAGGCTCTCGTCTGGCCTGGGCTCTCCCAGTCTCTGGCTCTCCGTCGGGGGCAGCTCCTCCTACCTCACGGCCCCCTGCAGGCCCTGCTTCCGCCCCGCCAGCACGACCCCTTCACAGGCAGAGACGGGACGGCGATGGCAGTGGTGAGTCAGCTCACCATAGCAACCTGGCTGAGGTTGCTATGGTAGTAGTAAGGCTGCTACTAGGATTTGCATTCTGACTAATTTCTAATTTTGTTATTCGAGTATCCAGAAAAGTGAATGAGCAGATATCATGTTACCCACGAGCAAGGAAAAAACCTTTACACACGGCTCCAATGCAGCAGTATGTTAATGTAGCAGCAAACAGAGCAATACATATGAAAACATTTTGTATTATTACAAAAATCTGAGGAAAATTAGATTTCTGCTGTATGAGTAATGGAGGCTGCCTCTTCAGATGTGAGCCAAACTACTGCTAAATGGAACAATACAGGATGCTGAGATCTTGTTGTCTTACACAAGGTCTTTCCTCAGTGGACAGAATATCGCTGACAATTCCACAGATGTAATAAATGATCCTAGTGATTTGTATGTGTTTATCTTCTGTGGTACCAACATGTTATTTGTCAAAAAAATAAATAAATAAAATATATATATACCCTAATCCTAACCCTGAAAAACCCCCTGTACTTTCATTGTTACAGATAGTATTTGATTAACGTCACGCATATCCCCAATAACAGTGGTGCGTGTAGAGCCACCGTTTGTACTCCGTTAGTTAATGAAGCATATTGAGAGATAAAGTATAGCCATTGTGTGCTGCATGGGTCATGGCTGTAGTGACAACAGCAACAAAAAACAGAACACTAAGCTTTTATAGCATCCTAGCTGTCTGACAAAACGTACAAAAGTCTGCTATTAGTTCGTCACAGTTAGACAGTTGGATGAAGGATCAACTCTCTAATTTTACCTTTGATCATTTTCGTGTGTTCACAATTTAGCAAGACAATGAATGTAGTTAACGGCAGAACATTAGCAGGGACCACATAGCTTAAGCTAACATCAAGCTTAGACTGATAAACCCCATTCAACATAGATATGTAGCGGTTACTCACTTTTGCGATCATGACAGCAATTGGTGGTGTAGTTGATGGCAAAGACAGAATATCGCTGATCCTTCCACAGACGAATTAAATGACTAGTGATTTGCATGCGTTTATCAACTGCGAGGTGTAAGCTCATATAGTATTTACAAGGTAGTTATAAAGGTCTGGATATGTAATTGCAGGCGGTAATGCATGATCAGGACTCAAAGGTAGTTTATTGATTTTGTATGGATCAACTCCTTCGGTCAGACTGACTTTCTCTTGACTTCTTGATTTGTAAACCATAGCCGGCAATGACTGCTGGAATGTCAACAACATGGCAGTGGGGCGCTATTTCTGGATTTTGGGACTACTATCTATTTGAGCTAGCTAACATCAGCTGGAGTAGTTAGTTTAGATGGTATTAAAGCCACACTACATCAGCCTTTCAGTCATGTCCTAACCAAACAGGTCCTTGGCAATGCGCTCACGTTGAAGCACTTGTGTTTCAGAGTGGCATAGTCTAACGTCCATATTTACTCACCAATACAAGTAAAACTGTAACATTTTACAGTCTTAATAAAACAAGAAAATAGCGTTTCATTTAATTGCTAGTCTCTATATTGCCTGTGTCGTCCTGTGATGAAACAGAATGAGTACATGAATCGTGATTACAGTACTCAAATACCGGCACCTCAAACAGGTAGCTGAGTTCTTAGCTGCTAATAAGTTATTCCTAAAATGGACTTATCTATTGACTACAAATCAGTGAATGAACTAATCTGACCATTATGCGATTTCTCTTACTGTGTTCATGTCACATTGAGGTTCCACCTTGATTAACAAACGATACATTGTGCAGCCCTTAGTTGATGCATTTAACTTTTTCCCCCCTCTATCAAAGTGGCTACATGGGCAGAATAACCAATCAGGTTTCTGTCTTTGTAAACACCTTTTAAGACCAGCGGTGCCTCGAACTGAATACTCAGTGCTCAACTGTAGTCAGAGACAGCTGCGCCTGTGTGTGGAGGAACAGTGAGTTCTAGAACTGCCTTCAATACCTCATCATGTCTTTCTGATGGACGTGGTGGAAAAGTTTGAAATCCAGTCAGCCCCAGGGCACCGTTCTTCCCAGACTCGAACAGGACAGATATATGAGCGTGACCTTTGCAGCTTTATAACTTATGTCTCTCTCACTTCACTCTCTTTCTCTTGCTCTTTCACTCTCAGCTGAAATCAGCGAGGCTGCTCTAGTGCGAGACATCCTATACGTCTTCCAGGGGATCGACGGCAAATTCATTAAGATGTGCGCTCCAGAGAACTGCTACAAAATCGACTCGAAGGTGAATTCATTATTACTGGTCACCACCCACCCCTCCTTTATCATGCTGTTGTGTTAGCATGATTGTGCCAAACTTTCAACACTGTACAGTATCTGTACAATGTATAGTATATGTCCCGAAGTTTGTAGGCACCTGCTTAGCTAACATTTCTTCTGAAATTAAGGGTATTAATCGGGGGTTTGTTCCTCTTTTGCTGCAGCCTCTACTCTGCAGGGAAGGCTTTACACTAGATATTGGAACGTTGCTGTGAGCAATTGATTGCTTTCACAAGAGCATTAGTGAAGTCAGGGACAGATCCCTCTCTCACTCAGGGATGCATGATGGTATCAGAATTATATCCATATTGGCAGATGTTTTCTTAAGCAAACAACTATGGCTTTGGACAGATGCTTAGATTTCACTGATATTTGATGATGTATTTTTTGTACCCCAGAAGAGCAGAACGTTTAGTTGATGCTGGATTGCTGCTATAAAATATCTGCATTTTATTAACTTTACTACATTCGTAACCCTCTACATATAAGTGTAATGTTTCTCTGTAATGCTGATCCAAGTGGATCTAGTCCCAGTTTCTGTGTTTTATGAATGTTTATATATCAGCATTAGTATGTTATGGGCAGAAATGTTCATGAAATCTGTTGGATAATCAGCAGCGGCCCACGTCTTCCATATCAGTACATCCCTTCTCCACTTCATCCCAAAGGTATTCAGTAAGTACTTCATCACTCCAGAGAATGCAGTTCCACTGCTCCTCAGCACAGGGCCTGGGGGGTTTATACCCCTCTAGCCAATGCTTGGCATTGGGTATGCTGACCTTAGACTCATGTGCAGCTGCTCCAAAGCATCCCATTCTGTTGGTAAATGCTTCTTTGTGGAGATGAAAGCTGTATGTACACAATTAAATGCTTGTATCAGCAAAGTTAGCTGAATTCATTAATTAGATGGGCTGTCTGGATATTTCTGGACTTCTGTTACTATATCTGTACAGAACGTTTATAGGTAAAGTTTAGTAAGAGCTGATTGAAGCATCATTAAAATAACTGTAAAATATTTGTATTGTGACATGTCACAATATGCTTTTCTGAATATTGTAAATACAGTCGGTACATAAAAAAAATTTCAACTGAATGTTTGATATCAAAGAGGATGCAGTAGGTACATAAGTAGATTTAGTTTAATCCCTGAGGGGAAATTCTTCTGTTGCAGCAAAAGCACAGAAAAGAGCAAAACAAGGGCAAAATGAATTGGAGCATTTACAGATGCATAAATAGAAAGTAAAGACAAATAATAGAATAAAATAAAAATATACTAAAAACAATAAAAATAATGTGCAGTACAAAAATAAGTAAATTGCATAAATACTATGCGGTTGACAATGCAGTGCTGCAAGGCCCCTCCAGTGAATGAACAAGTGACTATGTAATGTAAACAACAGCCAATGTTAACAATTACTTAAGCAATATGACATTCTATATGCATAAATAAAATAAATACATGTACTTAATAAGATACAGAAAGCAGTAAACAGTTTCCACAAGAATGCATCTTCAGTTCAGTAGAAGTGTGAAGAGACAGGAGCAAAACACACACACACACACACACACACACACACACAAACACCTGTCTCTCCCATAATGCTTCTGGTTAAAAATAGGCTGTTCTATAAGTGCATTGTCTGCTCTCTGGAGACAATCCTCAGTGCTACAGCAGGAACCGATTTGGTCCACTCTCTGCTTCTAAATCCATCCTTTCAGCATTGATTTTAGACTCCAAACATCTTCTGTCAGTTGTATTGTCCTTAAGTGACATTATTCAAGGGTAGGTTTCTTTGGTTCGTCATTAATGCATCGTCTGCCTTCACGCAAAGGGTAAGGGTCCAATGTTATGGTCAACGATTCTGAAACAAGTTTCACTTTGCTGTAGTATACCAAGCAAAATGTTCTTGAAAGTATATATGTAGTGTCTTTGATTAACACAACTGCATATGGCCTTCAGAGGTTGGTTAGAGATACTTCTGTCTTACAGTAACCTCATCCAAATAAAAAAAAAAGTAAAAATATTGGTTTACCTGCCCTCCTAGTACTCACAATACGATGGAAACCTGAAACAGTGGCCACAGTGAAGGTCAACTCTAACTGTAGAGCTTTGTTCTCCTGGCTGAATTAATTTTTTAACAGGATTCCCAGTAGAGCCCCAACGCTAATCACACACACTGGACCCTTCCTAAACCGTGGGTTCACTGGCTCTCGCAGGGATGTACTGATTATGATTAGGAATGGGCATTTCATATATATAAACACACACACACACACACACACACCCACCCACCCACACACAAACACACAAATATATATTGTTTTGTCTTTTTGGCCCTTGACTTGTTTATATGTTGTTATTAGTTATTTAGTTATATTTTGATGCTAAAAAAATAAAATATGTTTGTTGGCCAAATCAAGTGTGCTCAAGGCCGGCTTTGGCCAGCAGGCCACACTTTGGGCAGCCCTGATTTACAGGCTATTTTCAGGTTTCTTCAACATTCAATAAGTTTTGTCATTTTTACAGTGAAGTGTATGAATAGTTGTGTAGTTAGGTACGTGTGTGTGTGTGTGTGTGTGTGTGTGTGTGTGTGTGTGTGTGCGTGTGTGTATAAATTATAGAGAAGTGGCGCTGTCAGAACGAAACCTTATCTCTAAAACAGTAACTGGAGAAGGAAAAAATGTTATTAATGCAACAATTTAAAGTCATTTTGCGTCATTTCTGTTGGTCTCAACATCATGGAATGTTCACATGATGTGAAGGGCAGCTGCTGTTTTCAAATGGTGTACAAATATAAGAAAACACAAAAACTGACTTATAATGTTTTGTGCCAACAGAGATGATACATCGTAATGTTTCTGATGTACACATTTGGTAATTAGTTTGTATGATGAATAACATCATAGCCAGATTTTGTACAACTAGATTCAATACTGTGACAGTTAACAATTACTATACTTTTGATGCGTATATGTTTATACGAACACATGTTTAGATCAAATACAACTGGTTTAGACTCTCTGCAGTAACTGTTTTATACTGGTGGTAGCAAATTGGTTTGTTTGCTCACTCATTGGTGAAAAATAGCACTTGGAGAGAGAGAAATTGACCATCTCTAATTAAATTCCTCTCTCTCCTCTCTCTCTCTCTCTCTCTCTCTCTCTCTCTCTCTCTCTCTCTCTCTCTCTCTCTCTCTCTCTCTCTCTCTCTCTCTCTCTCTCTCTCTCTCTCTCTCTCTCTCTCTCTCTCTCTCTCTCACACACACACGACCCTATTCGCTCCCTAAAGGCATCTTTCCGACTGAGTGCCTCTGCAAGACCAAATGGCCCTTTTAAGAGAGTTCTTAACGTTAAGAGATTTCCAAACATTTAAGGGGAGAAAACTCTTCTGGAAGTGAAAAGAACTAATGTGGCATTAGCAGTAAAGGGCAGAAGAAAAGTCAGTCTATTATATGCGCCAAATCTGTTCTTTTAGACCAGCTGCAGCCCGTAGCCTCAGGCCTGAGAGAGAAATGTGGAGAATTATCCGGTCGGTTTCCCCTTTTTCTTTTCTCTCTCACATACACACAGACACACTTGCACAAACATAAAGGACAGTAAAGGCAGATGGCAGCCATCCGAATTACTGTAGTCATAGTCATTACATAATCCTGTGATTTTCTCCTCATGCATTGCCCTTATTTTAGGTGACACAAGATCAAAGGTACACTCATTGGTATAAAGGTGTGTTTTTAAAGTGTTAAACTGTACAGTCAATAATGACTGAGGAGCTGCAAGCTCATTATGGATGGACATTTCAGCTAAAATTGCTATTTGAATTTTCAAGTCATTATCTGAAGAATATTCAGTGAACACATATAGGATACTATGGTAGTGAATGTGTTGTGTATCTCGTCCTATGATGTGGATGTGTCTTTAGTGAGTTTCTACTCAAAACAGTGCAAATTATTCATTTTTTTTAGTGTCAAGGGAAAAATCTGAAAACATATATTTAGCAGGAATCTGCACAGACGCCTCAAAAACTAAATATAATATCAAATTTCTAAGGATTTAGTGTGGCCACTTTCAGCCTGTATTGCAGTGTCAGTTTGTTTCAGGAGATGCACTTTTAGTTTTAGTTTTTCAAAGAAGTCTGCAACAAGATATTTCCACAGCTGCAAAGTTCAGTCCTAGAAGTTGGTTGCATTTTCTACTTCTCATGATTCAGTTAATCCTCAAACACAAAGTGGTCTGCATTCTGGGGTGATTTGGTAAGAGTTTGTTTGTTTGTTTGTTTGTTTGTTTATTTATTTATCTATTTATTTATATCTATCTCAGTAAGAGCTTCTTGGTAGCTACACATCCTTTCGGACTCATAGAGTTGTCTTCTCACAGTGTAAGGATGGACAGAAACACATGGATTTTTCAGAGCTGAAGTAAGAGTGGAGCTTGATTTTCTCTTCTCTCTCAAAGATGAAAGCTTTAAGTACAGTTCATCTGATGGTGACACGTTTGGTGATTTTGCAAGTTTTGTAGTTTTAAGAACAGTTTTGTTCAGCTTCAGTTTTGTCCTGTTTTTTTCTGTTATTTGACTTCCATATGCAAATACATTATCTTATAACTAATCTCCTCAGAAGTACCTTCTGAAAAATAAATATGTTGTAGTTAATGGTCGTTTTGGAAATGAAATAAATGAAGGATGGTGTTCGACTTTTGCACAGTATTGTAAAGTATACTGTGATGGTGTGCATATATATTATACTATGGTAGTGTATGTTTATGGTATACTATGGTGTATGTGTATAATGTGATATGATGGTGTAAGTGTATAGTTTACCTTTTAATGAAATATGACTCCTGTTTTGATCAGTATGTCTTTCTGTGCAGGTGCCGTTGTGTAAGTCTTTGCGAGACACCAGTAGCCGACTGGCGGAGCTCGGCTGGCTTCATAATAAAGTCAGAAAGTACACAGACTCTCGTAGTCTGGACCGAGCCTTCGGATTGGTCGGACAGGTATGCGTACTGTCATGTTTTTGTGTGTTTGTAAGTTTAATTTCATAAGAATTAGCTTGAAGTTATTGTTAAGGTGAATGTAAATAGATTGTGAATATATTTCTTTATATCACCATGTAATTGTGTAAATATCTAATTACATTTACATGATTATTTGTGAGTGTTTAGACATCTTAGTGTTATTAGCTCCAAGGTTTTGAGACATTTTTGTTTTTCCTCTCATCTCAGAGTTTCTGTGCGTCTCTGCACCAGGAGCTGAAGGAGTATTACAGGCTGCTCTCAGTACTGCATGCACAGGTAACACAATAGACTTATTTACAGCTTCTTCAGCAGGAAAACAAGGCAAAAAAGGACCAACTGAGTCATTATAATTTGAAATATCTCCTGTGGGCTGCAGTATGCAAATGAGGCCTCTAGCTTATCACATGTTTTTACTGTGTGCCTTGAGCTTCCTGTCCAATCACAGCTCACATATGAGTATGCGTACTATCTGGGCTGTTAATGCTGGTGTTCAGTATCTATATCATACACTGTTTACAGAACGCTTGTCTGTTTGCACTTTGCACTTTAAATTCTTTCAACTGGACAAGAAATGTGACCTGTCATTGTCACAAGGGTTGCACTACAGTCTATGAACTGCTGTAGTTAACAACCTCAGTTCTTAGGGAATAATACCTTTATCCATTGTGTTATTTATTATAAAGATCGTGTGTCTACATTACCGTGTTGTACTAGTTTGTTGCTGCTTTGCTCATCAGAGCTGTTGTATTAAATTACTACTGACACTGTTTATACTGTTCATGTCACACACAGTTGCACACAGGATTTTTTAATTAAAATTTTGTTGTATTTCTTGTTTATACTTTTTTCCCTTATTTATTACTTTTTATATAATCTAACAAGGAAGTTACAATCCAACAAACAGTATTTTAAAAATATATCAATATAATCACAGTATTTTGTCTGTATTTTGTCGTGCAGCCCATCAGTGAGCAGTTGTAGTACATTTCAGTATCTCTCACAGTATACTGATATTGACATTTTGGAGTGTGTTTAGCTACAGGTAGAAGATGACCAAGGGGTGAATGTGGGAGTGGAGAGCACTCTTACCTTAAGAAGGCTGCTCGTGTGGACATACGACCCTAAAATTCGGCTCAAGACCCTCGCCGCTCTGGTGGACTACTGCCAAGGTCAGTTCAGTAATACCACATTCAAACATGCTAACGTTGCTGATCTTTTTTTTTTTCATCTGTTAAGTTAGAATACACAAAGTAGTGCCACATTTTAAAAATAGCTCAAAAACAATAATTCCAATAACATGTACTCAACATTTCATACACTGCTGAACATAATCCAGTAAAACAAGACTTATAATGCTCCTTTTTTAAATCAAACATGCAGTTGCTAAAGTATTGTTGATATCCGCGATATGCTCTGAAAAGCGTATTGTGACGTAGTTAATCATGATAATGATAAATATTGTGATACAGCCCAGATCTATAATATATTAGATATTTTAGATCATGTAGACCACAGTGCTGTTTGTTGGTGAGCAGTCCTGTGTTGGATAATGGAGTCCTGTGTTGTAGTGTAATTGTGATATTTGAATTAGTCTTGTACTCGTCACAGAAGTTTTCTTTCTTTATTTCTCATGTTGTTTTTAACCCATGTTCCATTCTTTTCTCTTTCTTCTTTCTTTCTCTCTCTTTTTCTTTACCCCTTGTTCTATTGTTTTTTTTGTGTCTTTTTCTTCTTTATTCTTTATTTTTTCTTTTTTTTAATGTCCTTTTCCATTCTCTTCTTCTCTCTACCTCTCTCTATATCAGGGCGTAAGGGTGGGGAGTTAGCGTCAGCGGTTCATGCGTATGGTAAGACCGGTGACCCCCACATGAGGGCGCTGGTTCAACACATCCTGGGCCTGGTGTCGCACCCCATCCTCAACTTCCTGTACCGCTGGATCTATGATGGAGAACTGGAGGACACGTACCACGAGGTCAGAACACATGGATAGTTTTGTTCTGTTGTTCCGTCTCTCTCTGTGCTGGTTTTGTATGAAGAGAAGCTGTTGTTTCTGCAGTATGTGCAGTCAGATGAGGAAATACAGATGGAGGCAGTGGAGTCAGAGTGAACTGTGTTTCAGTTAATCTTCATTACAGTGCACAATACAGCACTCACAATGTTTTCACCCTTTTATACACCTACCAACCAAATACACACACCCCTTAACGAGAACAGATAGGGGAGTGCTGATGAGTTCTTTCTTTCTGTTTCTTTTTTTCCTTTCTTCTTTTGCCTGTTTTGTTCTTCATTTACTTTCTTTCTCTCTTTCTTTCTTTTATGTCTCTTTCTGCTTTGTGCTTGTTTTTATTTCTTTTCTTCTACTCCTTCTTTTCCATGCTTTCTCGCTCTCTCTTCTCTCTGTATGTCCTGGGCTGTTGTGCATTAGAAGACTTTTCACCTTCATCAAAAATCACCCAAACTTTGTGCCCTTTTTGCAAACAAGCATCAAACCATCCAGATGTTTTACACTAATGCTGCGGATGATTGTGTGAAGCCTAACAGTCATGAAAATTTAGCTTTCAATTCATTGCCATGTAAACGACTGCATTTATATGTCCTTCTTTTTTGTTTACTGTGTATATAACGTCTGAAGTACAAGCCTAAAAGGGGCCAGATTGAGTGATCAGTTATCTAGCTTTCTAGCTGCTAATCACTTCTTGTCCCAAAATATTTAAAATGGTGAAATGGTGAAACCATTGGTCTCCATTGGTGTCTATTTTCTAACATTTGAAACTACACTGTGTAAGTTATTGTATTACATGTACTATTAACATGACAAATGATTCTAGACTTCTGAGCAATAGTGTACTTTACATCATTTGAGCATCAGCCCTTCATCACGGTGCAGTCTGAGACATTAATGATGTCTCAGGCTGATGATAGGAGGTTTGGCTGTACTGTAGCTGCTGATGATGCAGTCTGCCGGGGCTCAGAAGTTAACAAGCTTTCAGTTTTACCCACAGTCGTTATTCTTACAGCAGGGCATTTTAACGTCAGGCCATAATGAAGATAACCTGAAGAACTGCTCATTGGTTCAGTAGCCCCACCGTCTCTGTATCTCTCCTTGGCCATGTGAGTATTATTAGAAGGTCAAGCAGTCCATGTCTGGCCATAGTGCTGACCTGTGGATTAATGGCACTCATTGATTTGTCATTATGAAGTTGCAAGGACGTTGTATCAGTGTCTGTATTTAAATTCAGTTATCTCTGAGTTCTGCTTAGTGCTTTATTTCAGAGCTGAAACAGGCATGACCCCTGAGTACATAAACAAACTGACTGTATAATACAGTATCACCTTCAGACACTTTGAATGTAGATAACCCTCTTCTTTCTTTTTCTGCATTTATTTTCTTTCTTTCTTTCTTTCTGGTTTTGCCTTCTTTTCTTGCAGACTTTGCTTTCTTGTAGGCCCTTTTTGCTTTCTTTCTTGCAAAGAGTCAACAAAAAGAAATAAATAAAGTTGCAGAATCTTATGACTGTGTGTGTTTGTGTATGTTTGTGCGTGTGTGTGTGTGCGTGTGCGTGTCCCTGCAGTTCTTCGTAGCGTCTGATCCAACAGTAAAGACGGACAGGTTGTGGCACGACAAATACTCTCTGAGGAAGTCTATGATCCCCTCCTTCATCACCATGGACCAGGCCAGAAAGGTAAAGAACATGAAAATGACCCTTTTCAGTGGGGGGTACACGGGATAAACAGTAATGGAAACTTGCATCCCAGCAGTTAGCATCATGCTGTCATTGTGGTTATGTAGTTTATAACATACACACACACACACAAAGATAAATGCAATATTTATTTGAAACATGAACAGTACAAAATGCAGCCTTTAAGACTAAGTTTTGGGTATAACAGTGACTCGTATCATTAAGCTGTGTTTTACTGTATATACACCAAAGGCTTGTTTCAAAGCCACTGAACTGCTGTTTCAACACCCAGTCTAATTGTGTCTCTGCTGTCCTGCCAGGTCCTCCTCATTGGCAAATCCATCAACTTCCTGCATCAGGTGTGCCACGACAGGACGCCGCCCGGTAAAATCTTGTCCGCATCCAAATCCACTGATTCACCCAAAGACGGTAAGCCTAATGTATCTCGGAATAGCCACGTTTGTCATTTAAAAAAAACACTACCAGCAGCCATTACAGTGGCTAACCGAAAAATAACAAGATGAGGAAGAGGGGGATGGGGATGAGGGGGCGGAAGGAGAGAAGGATTGATCTGTTTGTGGAGGAGAGTGGTGTTTTGGACTGTGGATGTGCAGTTTTAGCGGCTGTATCGACGCCGGCTGTATTTAGCGTCTGCCCATAGCTACACCAGATCAATGCGCTTAGTGCCCATTGCCAGCCTTGACCTTGAGTGTATGTTTCCAGAGTGATGTTTACATTCACTGTCTACATCTGCCTTTCCGTCCATTCTTTTGTCTCTCTCTCTCAGTCTCTTCCTTTATTCTGCCCTCTCTTAATTTGGGCATACGCTATACGACTTTTAAAATCCTAACAGATTTTGAAAATGGAGAGAATCACAAACAACTTTTATAATAACTATATAATAACTAATTTATAATAACTTAATAACAAATTTCTTGTCTTTTTGTCGTGAGGACATGCACACAAGACAAAGAGAGGGTGTCGCGCACACAAGTTCTTGCTGCAAAAAGCTTTAAAAAACCCCAGATCTCACTGTTCTAACATGATACAAACAAAGCTAAACTTGACCAGTCCTGTTTGTGCATACACACACAAAGTATAGCACAATCGCAAGATGGCGATGAATAGATGGGCAAGATGAGCAGATAACACAGAAAAGGCCTGGAGAAATATTTCACCACAAACTGGCAGCTGACTGACTATTTGCCACAACACGTAGCTCCTCTGTCTCTGTGGTCAGCATCCTAATTATTCATTCAGTTACACTGCTGACCATCTCACACTATAGGACTATATGAATGCTTCAAGTCTTAAAAATCAATCATGTTTAAAAATACCAGAGGGTCTCAGATCACTTCAGAGTGCAGTTGGAAGGCTAAAGGTTGACCCTTCACAGTTCATGCTGTGAAAAAAAGCCCATTTTGAATTTACTGTTTTTGTGAATGTTTACATGTGCAACTATTCAGCCTGCAGTAGTTCAGTCCTGCCCATTCACCCTTAAGTTATAAGGAGTGTTTCAGCCTGGACTGAGGCACAATACAGGGCAGCCAGTCAGAGCAGAGGTCATTGAGATATATCAGTATTTAAGCAGCCTGTTTAATTCTAGGAAATCAAGAATGGGAGAAATTGTGACTTTTTCTGGTATGTGAAACCACACAAATGTCATAAGTGGACTTCAGAAAACAAAATAAAACACAAGAAAAATGTAGGATGTGGACCCTTTAAATCTATATGAGTAGACTGTAATTTTGAATTTTTATTTTTCTGTTTTATTTGACAGCAGCTGTCCTTTACATTGTGTGAAAATGTTATGGTTAGACCATCATAAATGCTCCAAAATAGTGAATGAAATAAATGAAGTCTTTTTACATTGACTTACATTAAAAATAAAGAACGTTTTTGGCCTCTCCTATAAAGTTGCCACTGGATATACTTGTTTTTCTTCAGAGAGAGAAGATATACTTTTATATTGCACAGTTAGGTATATGACAGCAGAAACTGGATCTGGTATATGAGTGTTGTAGAGTTCACTCTTCATTACATAGTGTTCAAACTTTTCCCTTTATTGTATGTTGAGACTCCTTTCTTTCGTTCTCTCTCTCTTCTCTCCTCTCCTCTCCTTTTCAGCGGCGGAGCTCTTCACTGATCTGGAGGGGGCGTTTCAGAGTAAGATTGACGCAGCATATTTTGAGACCAGTAAGTACCTGCTGGACGTCCTGAATAAAAACTACCAGCTGCTTGACCACCTCCAGGCCATGAGAAGATACCTGCTGCTGGGTCAAGGAGACTTCATACGACATCTGATGGATCTGCTGAAGTGAGTACACGCACACAGCCGACGAACTGAAGTCCCATCATGCTTACATAACTCTACCTGTTCTTTTCCCTAAATCTAAACAATCTGTCTTTACATCTGCTGAATAACACATTTACGACATGCTGTACTTTTATATAGCCGACCATGTGCCTTGTTAAATCTGTATTCTGTATGATCTGCAGCACTGCCCCCTGTTGGCAGTAAAATTCAAACACTACATCTACCGCTGTGCTTGAGCACATTGAGATTGCCCATGTTGGTTTGAGCACCGTATACCATCCACAAAAAGTTAGAAAAGACAGACACTTGATTCTTACACAAGGAATGCTTTCAAAATGTGCTTTGAACCAAACCATCAATTTCCATAAGCTTAAGCTGCATATCACAGATGAAGGACTTGCAGTTAGCATTGTGTAGTTGAGATATTACTAAATCGTTCTTGTTTTCATTCACTGCACACAGTGTTGGTTTTTTCAGATGGAACTGTTTCTGTAATGGCCACTCATGCTTTTCTTAATCTTCTCTGCCTTGTTTGTCAGGCCAGAGCTGGCCCGTGCGGCCACCACCCTCTACCAGCACAATCTGACTGGTATCCTGGAGACAGCCGTGAGGGCAACGAACGCCCAGTTTGACAGCCCAGAGATCCTCAAGAGACTGGATGTGCGCCTTCTGGAGGTAATGCAGGATTTCTCCACTCCATACAGTCCATATATGCAAACTGCAGCAGAGTGACACACTGTAGCAGAGTTACAAGAGTGACAGATGTGGGGAAAACAAATGTGCTGCTGTTCCTGGCTGTCAGGAAAGTGCTGTCATCACAGCCTTCCAAAAGATTCAGATCTGATTTCCTCCAGCGTCTCTGAGGATTTATGACCAAACTTAGCAGTTTGTTCCAGATTTCAGGCCATACTGCCTTTTGAATACAGGGCAACCAATCAGAACAGAGGTCATTTACATATCAGATTTAAAAGCACAGTAACAAAACCGCTTTTTTTTATTTTTTTTTATTTTTTTTGGACAGGTGTCTCCAGGTGACACAGGTTGGGACGTATTCAGCCTGGACTATCATGTGGATGGACCAATTGCCACGGTAACTGGCTCCATTTTTGCTCTAAGAGCTGCGGCTACCCTTAGATTCTCATCAGCAAGCTAAAAAATGTCAACAGGTCCCACGTAAATTAATTAATAAATTATAAAATTATCATGAAACTCATTATGCAATTGTATTGCAATATTTAAAGATTTGTGATTTGTGACAGAAAATTGTTTTGGATTAAGTCAAAACTGTGTTTAGGTAGTCCATCAACAGTGGACTTAATTCAGGTTAAATTTTTAATTACTGAATAGTCAAATATTGAAAGCTGGTTTGCCGTGTATTGACACTATTTTTAAACCCACCATGATATTCTATTTTATTTTTGTGTGCGTTACCTGTGCTAGGTGTTCACCCGTGAATGTATGAGCCACTACTTGCGGGTGTTTAACTTCTTGTGGAGAGCCAAGAGGATGGAGTACATCTTGACAGACATCTGGAAGAGTCAAATGTGCAATGCCAAACTGCTGAAGAGCATGCCGGGTGAGTGCAGTACCACCCTGCCACATGCAGGGGGCAAAAGGAAGAAAATGTGTGATGAAGGAGGGCTTATACTGAGGCGCTGCTCTGGAGCCAGTTTGATTTAGGCCATGTTCTGTGCAGAAGGAGAAGGAATTCTGCTCAGTCAGGAGCTTCTAAGCTTCTAAGCACTAATTACATAGTTTTTCAGATGGTGCTTCAATTAAATCCTTAACAGTCTAGAGTTACTACTGTTGTTCTGCAATACTTTTTATGTAATTACAGTATTAAGAGTTACACATTCAGTTTGCATTCTTAATTGACATCTTTGTGCCTGACTTGTTTGGTTTATTTTAGTAGGTTTTTTTTTGGTTTGTTTTTTTCCATAAAATTTGAATCAAAACAGATGTGTTATCAATTTAAGAGTTAGAATTTACACTTTGTCTGTGTTGTTCACAGAGCTCTCTGGAGTGCTGCATCAGTGTCACGTCTTGGCCTCAGAAATGGTCCACTTTATCCACCAGATGCAGTACTACATCACATTCGAGGCCAGTTGCTCTCTCCTGCACTCTGCTCTGTCTTACAGTCTTTTGTACTCTCTCTCTATCTCTCCCTCTTTTGCATACTTTGTCTCACTGTCACTCACTTTCAGCAGTGCTATTGCATGCTCTCTCTCATGCTCTCTTCTGCACACTCTCACTTCTTTTGTGTTTTCTCACTCACTCACTCTCTTTGTCTCTCTCTCTGTGTTCGGAATATACAGCAGTATGCAATTTTTTCTATGGTATTATAGATGCTACAGCTGAAGTCCCATATTAATCTATTACACAGTTAAAACAATGTCAGCTATGTTCATATATAATAATATAATTATTATTATTATTATTAGGAGATATTAATGTGTATGTGTGTGTCATGTAGGTGTTGGAGTGCTCGTGGGATGAGTTGTGGAATAAGGTGCAGCAGGCTCAGGACCTGGACCACATCATAGCGGCCCACGAGGTCTTCCTGGACACAATCATCTCCCGCTGCCTACTGGACTCCAACAGCAGGGTGAGCCACACACAAGCTTAAACAGCCTCATACATTTAGGAGAACGAACTGAACTCTTCAGACTGCACACCACCAGCACAGGACTCACATATCAGTGGAAACAATTAGACTTGTGCCCAGTCTGGATAAATAGGTACTACAGTGAAAGACCTCTGTGATGGTAAAGACTGATTAACTTATAGGTGTAAAAAAAAATAATAATAATAACATGGAGCTTGTTTCCTAATGTCACTACAGTCTTCCATAATCATTCTGGATTCAAACCAAACAATCTTTGAAAACCAGCAGATTCCAAACACAAATAAAATAATAAAGAAAAGAAAAACATGACAGTGCCCAAGATTTTGTGGTAATTTTTTGTACTGTTAACTGAGTATTAGAGGTGGGTAATATGTCAAAATGTGACAACTCGATACATGATAGTAATGATGTATATATTTTTGTGTCATTTGCTTTGGGAAAAAATGATAAATAGTGTCATATTGCCCAGCCCTACCAAGTATGCCAGGATTTGTACGGAAAATCTGGAAACTCATATAAAATAAATGTGCCTAAATCTAATCCTGAATTGTCCTTAAACAATTTAAATAAACTTGAATGAAAAACATATCTAAAAAGTCATGGAAAATATTATCATGGGTTTCTGTAACAATTTTTCTTCATGATATAAGTACACAAACTTTGATAGTGACCAACGACCTCACCCATGTATTTCACATCACCTCGCATTTTCTTATTTTTGGGATCAAGTAGCAAGAGCATTATGTCTTTTAGCTGGTAGCGTGAGTCAAATATCTCACAGTCACAGTCGCACTAAATTAAGTCAAAATGCCTAGAAATGGCAACTATAAAGACTGGCTTTAACAAGACGAAGCAAGTAGGCATATGATGGGGTGCTGTTACCTCATGAAGTAAAAGAAATTTGACATCGGAAATGTTGGTGAGTCTGCATTCAAAACGCAAAGAAGTCAGCAGTTCTGTTAAGGAGTACTGCTAGCTTTTCAACACCACCATCAGTGTCTTTACATGTGACGTTAATGCACATTACTATGTGATGTTAGATGTTCCCATCCTCTGGTAACCCTAATATTGACAGCACATACTTTTCTATCTTTGCAGGCCAATATTAATTTAAAATCATCAATGTATTACATGTTAATGTAGGTTCATATGATTTAGGCTCATATGATTCAGCACTGGAGTACTTAACCTTTGGTACTGGATTGTTTTGTTTTTTGATATGCTAATTCTGTTACCTGCTCAGTCCTCGACAACAGTATAAAAAGGTACTGAACTGTGGTGCATCATCATTTTCTCTGTGTGTGTTCTTTGCTGCAGTCTCTGTTGAACCAGCTGCGGGCTGTGTTTGACCAGATCATTGAGTTCCAGAATGCTCAGGACACCCTGTACCGCTCAGCGCTGGAGGAGCTGCAGCTCCGTGTACAGTACGAGGACAACAAAAGACAGAGAGAGCAAGAGGTATAGAGAGCAGGGGTTTGGAGGGGGATGTCCCATGTGAATGTGTGTGTGTGTGTGTGTGTGTGTGTGTGTGTGTGTATATATTTTCTTTCATTAATTCACCAACAGTTTGGAACACTAGGGAGAACAATACAACAAGAGCATGGAAGATTAACTTCACATAAATTGTCAACAAAAATAAATAAATAAATCTCTTAAGACCAGTCTAAGTATACAGCTTTCCCAATAATTTTGTGATTTCATTTAGTGTTTTAATATTAACTCTATAATAAAAAAAAATATTTTTTTTAGATTACTAACATAATGAACGCTCAATAAGCTGCGCCAGCAGTGATGGCAGTGGGTTGGGGGGGTGCAGAGGGGTATGTATGTATGTATGTATGTATGTATGTATAAAGTTCTATATAGTACGAAAAGAAATAATAGTAGAACCCTTTTTGGTGCTATATAAAATCAGGTTTAAGTTCTTTAAAGTTAGGTTCTTTAAAGAGAACCATATAAAACAGGTTTTCCACGGTGGAAAAGAACCATTTAAACATTCAAAGGGTTCTTTAAGTTGTCATGTTCTATACATAAGCATTGCCATTAAGAACCTTATATGAACTCTTATAAGGGTGTAAATAATTACAGTGTTAATGACTGTAACCTGTTGTCATGCACAATTTGTTAGCCTCTAGCTGATTCAGTTGCTGACCACAGGACCACCATTTTCAGTACAGCAGTGACAATGACTCTGGGATATCCATCCAAAAATATCCAGCAATAGAGATTTTTTAATGAAGGGCGAGAGGGTGATTAACACAGTGTGTGCAGGCAACAATGCAGACATTAGAAAGATCTACAGGCTGTGTATCTGATAAAGTGGCTAATGAGTGCATATGTAAACTTATTTGGCATCCCCTGACTGTGAGCTTGCAGAAATTACGGTCTTTCAATGACTCTGAATTATAGTTATGTAGGAGTAATTAAAGATTCTTGTCAACAGAAAATCAATAGGTTTTTCCAGAGCAGTCATGTGTACTGATGGCAAGGCCATGGCTACAGCTCTCTGTACATCTCTCCCCCTGAGACAGCACAGTGCAGACTTAGATTAACAGTTTAATTTGGCCCTGCCTGGAAAGCACTTGGCTAAAAGCACGCCCCTTTTACAAGCTCGGGTGTCCGTTTTCAGTAGCTATCGATTTTTAGCGCTTCAGCAAAGAGCGCTATAAAAACAAACATAAGTGTGGAGCCTGCCAGGGTGTTTTACTGCGAGTGTGAGTGTGTGATTAAGGGAGCGAAACGATAAGAGGTTTTTAGGTGAGTCCGTTTGCAAGGTCAGAAGGGTAATGAGTAGTTCTGAGCTAAAAGGCCAAAGTGAAGGCTAATTTATGGTCAGGCAGGCAGCAGTGGACGGGGGTACAAAGCATGAAGTGGGCACAGGGACATTGCAGGGCTTTTAAAAATGCTGTGTAAGGTTGTAGTTACAAGTACATTACGAGGACTTCACTTTCTACTGATAACACAGTAGTACATCATTAAGTTTTAGTTCATCACAGAGGTCATTTTCCATCTCCAAGTTAAAATGTGAGGGGTCAAGAGAAGGCTTTTCTCAAATTCATATTACAGAAACAATCTTATATTAATTTATCTTATTTTACAGCATCTTACAGATCAACTTATCTCAAGTTAGGAAATCTTAACCTTCTCGATCGAAGTCGACAATCAACTGTCATGTCTGTTATCAAACATAATACACGCAAAGCTGAAACTTAAACACAATCAAAATGTTGTTAGAAGTGTAAGTTATAACTATTCTTTGTAAGTTATAACTATTCTTACTAATGTCAAAACAAAACTGGAGATAATATAGTGCTGTTTGAGAGCGTCGCTCCACAGTTTCAGTTTCTGTTTCCCAAATGCTTTAGCCGAGCGCGTTAACGTTATTCCTCCTAATAAACAGACACATGTTTAACTCTGTCTGCTCGTTATTCACCACCATCACTAAAATATTTTATCTTATGAGCTTTCATCAGCTTTGACACACGATGGTAATAGGAGGGGACGGTGGAGGTTGTGCCTGTAGTGTCTGGGATTTTTAAAACACAAAATTAGAAAAAAACAAAGTTTTTAGTTCTGGTCCTAAAATCTGATTGGCTGAGCCGCGATTGATGCCATTGTAAAATCCACGATAATCGCACACCTATGACCACCTCACAGCAAGTGAACTCTGTATTACTACGCCACGGCACAAAAAACCCTTGTGCTGTTAAAGGAATAATCTTTGACTCTCATGCTGCTCACATGGACCTCCGAGTATACTGATAAAGTAAGAACCCGTTTTTTGTTTACACTGAGGGTCTGGCAACTTATGTTCTTAACTAGAACTTGGCAGGTCAGCTAGCTAACCGGTTAAAAGATAGCCAACATCCTAAACAACTCCATTATTAATATAACAACACTAGTATTGAAGTACTTACGGTATGATTCACTGTAAAACAGCAGTAAAAAAACTTGAATGGCTCACACGCTTCAAATGTTCGTGTTTCAGTCAGAAGTAGCGTCAAACCCGGGCTGAATCCCAAATGGCTCCATACTCCCTAAATAGTATGCTAGCTATGAAAGTTTAGAAATTCTAGCCTCTACGGCCAAATAGTGCACCGTTTATATTTCTTAGCTATATTTTGCACCGTTGAGGTGCAGGATCCATTATTTAAATCCTACATAGTGCGCTAGCTATGTAGGGAGCAGGGAGCCATTTGAGTCTCCCACTCTAAAGGAACTACATTTCTTGGCAGAATGTTTGTCGTTTATTATCAATAATAACTTATTTTCAGAAATAAGTTATATTTCATGTTGGCTGTCGTTTTATAAAAGCAATAAGCCACTTGAGGCTGTGCGTTACTTCAATTTTATCACAGGAAAGGGAGTTCCACTTTGCGTTGTGCCTAAGAACACCCTCCTCCTGATAAAATTGCAGTAATGCACAGCATCTCGTGGCTTATTGCTTTATTAAGACACCTTTGGGGTTATCCTAAAGTTAGGACAGTATTTAGGAAATTTTGTCTTGTTAGGATGTTTCTGTAATACTGTTTTCTTATCTGGAGTTTGGATAAGATTGGGAACTGAAGAACTGTTGTTCTGTAATAGATACTCTCCTAAATTCAGTCCTAACTGAAGTTGTCATGGTGACTAAAGAGAGAAGATTTCAGAGTTAAGATGTTTCTGAAATACGGCCCCTGATTCTCAGCTTTTATCTAAGAATATTGCTATTGAAATGATCCCCTTTTCCATTACATGTAAAATAGAAGTGCAACTAACACTTATTTCTGTAACCGCTGTCAGTTAATGGCATAAACTCATTAGTATTAGAGCTGTAGTAGATGGTGATGGCTCGTGGGCTTCTACACAAGGTTTGTTCTGCTTAGTGGATAATGCCAACATGTTAGTTTATCAAGGTAATATTGAGAGCAGAAATACTTTGTCATTGTTTTTTGGTTCTAGCTAACACCACCTATAGCAGTTTAGAGTAGTCAGCGCTATAGCTGTACTGCCTCTGCCTTCTTAATCACGTGCTTATCAATGCACCCTAGGCAGTGTGCTCACTTTAACCGTTCTGGATCTAAAGTGTTACAGGGACACAAACACATGATCATGCTGTAAATGACATGATAATCAATCAAACAGGTTGTTATTGTTGCTGTTTAATAGCCGTGTCTGATGTTCATTCAGTAGACACTGATTCTGAAGAGTAGCAACAATCCAATATGAAAATGTTTTTTTTAACGTTATTTCAAGAAAACTTCAGCACCGCTTGAATTTACAGTAATTTTGAATGAAATTAATTTTAAAGAGTGCTATAAAACTAGTTTGAAAAATTAGTCATGTGCAACATTATGAAAACCCCTGATCAAAATACATGTTTTAAAAATAAGTGAACACATCCTCTATAGTGAACACACTTAAATATAGTGTATGGCTACATTTTATGTGATCCCCCTCACCCCCCCCAGAGAGTTTTGCTCCGACCATAATCTAACACACCTGATCCAGGTAATAAAGGCCTCAGGGTCATCTGAACATTAGAGCCAGGTGTGCTGGACTTGAAATTTCCTGGGTGGTAGGTCTGAAAGACCAAGAGTGGCACCCCTGCTCTAGAAAAATACAGTGCCTTTGTTCCTTAGTAAACAATGAATAATAAAAGTTCACGCTGATGATTTTTCACTGCCATTGTAATAGTTGAAAACTGTCCAGTCTTTAATAGTCTTTTGTTCAAAGGTGAAAGTTATTCTTGTTGTGTGGCTGATGTATATTTATGTGTGTGTGTGTGTGTGTGTGTGTGTGTGTGTGTGTGTGTGTGTGTGTGTGTGTGTGTGTGTGCCTTGTAGGGTGAGTGGGGTGTGACAGCAGGACAGGAAGCAGCCGAGAACAAACGAGTGCAGGAGTTTAAAGACACCATACCAAAAATGTGCTCTCAGCTCAGACTACTGACTCACTTCTACCAGGTAACTCATACACACCATTCTACCACATCATTTTTCACCAATACACACATTCTGTTTCACTGGTTCTACCACAGACACTACTTTCACTACTCAGAATAGAGATGTGCGATGTGACTGATTTTTGATATTTGATTATCTGTAAGAGTTCATAAACTGATATCCAGTTAACCTCAAGGAATGATAAACAGTGACAAAAAACAGGCTAAAATAGTGATGTTAGCTCATCTTTTTAGGTGACAGCACTGGTGTTGCACACAAAATACATGAGCACGCAAAACGATACATTAGAAACCATTATCTTTGTTGTTCAAAAACAGCCAGAGGAAAATCTTAACTTAAAACGTAACTTTTCATGTTGGATGAGCAACAAAGACTGTCTCTTCAGAAGAGCTAATAAGCTAACAAGTGTCATGTTGGATGCTGATAAGATACTGGCATCTTGCAAGCTGAGTTCTCATGCACATCCCTGATCCAGATACCTCAGTGAAAAACTAAAAAATACAATAGAAAAAATAGAATAATAATAATAATAGAACATTAAACAGTGGAAGGTTTAATGTTGGTTTATGGTGTTTAGCAAGCATAGGAGGTGATCATACTTGATTATTCAGTTGATTTAGTGATTTATCTTTTAGCTAAATGCGACAAGGTGGTCTTCAGAACAATCACTTGCACATCGTACACTGTACAAATGTATAATCTTGTCTGAAATACTTTTATAGCTCTGTTTACGTGTTGCTGTTCTGCTTGAGCCTCAACATCAGCTGCTTGTTTCCCAACATTCTTTCCTTTTTCGGTCAGACGCTTAGTTACAAACTTTGATCAAAAACCTTCAAAAATTGAAAGAGAGTAACAATTTATTTATTTTTTGTTTATTGCAAACTAGATATGCCTTATTCCAATACCTGATCAGGTGAACAAATACCTTTTTGGTATGTGTTTTGATATATGTGTATTTGATCATCTCTGTGTTGTACCAGGTAATAAACACACCTATGTATGTATTTGGGCTGTAAGATGATTAAAATAATAATTAATCACATTTTTTTGTGCAGCTAATTGTGAGAAAATCGCTTTTTTAAAGTATTTATTACTGTTGATAATTGATTATATTTTAATCGTGTGAGGTCACACAAACCTGAACATGCACCGACTATAGCTCTCTCACTCTTGCTGTCTTAGGACTTTCCACATTGCTGTTGTTTTGCTATTTGTTGTTCATCCATAGTTCTCTCACGAGCACTGTCCAGTGCAGTTTGCTGAAGGTATAACTAAAAGAAATAAGGAAATTTAAAAGCTGTATTTTCACAGATTCTATTATAGCAACATAAAGCACACATGCAGCTAGATTTCAGCCTGAAAAATGCCGGCATAAAAAATGCTGTTAATTATTTATTGCAGTACATAAATTACATTATTAAAGCTGTCAATGTTGACAGAAATGCAGACTGTTCAGAATGGATTCTTTTATAAAGTATTTCAGCTCTTCAGCTGCAGTTTCGTGTTTTCTATTTTTCTCCGCTACTTCAGTTTTCTCCTCTTATTCTCTCTTACTTTGTACCCTCTTCCTCCATCCCTCCAGGGCATCGTTCAGGAGTTCTTACGTCTGTTGATGACCAGTTCAGATGAGAGTCTGCAGTTCCTGAGCTTCCGGTTGGACTTTAATGAGCACTATAAAGCCCGGGATCCGCGTCTGCGGCCCTCGCTCGGGGCCACCAGGGGCCGCCGCAGCTCCAACATCTGACCCTGAACACTTTGGTCTCGGCACTTGATGTTTTCTGAATGGACCTTGATGTTGTGAGACGGTGTCAGTCAACAGGGCTTACGCAGAATGGAAGTGAATAAGTGACAAATAAAAAAGAAATGCAGCCTTTAACCCTCGATTCATTGCCAAATGTTTCAGAAAACAGTCATTTTAGAAGTGTGGAACTTTTAGTAGCACAAGGTCACAGCCCTGTTGTCATCACCTTTGAGTCTCCATTACCGTTTGAGTTGATTGTCACTGTCATATGAAAACCTTGTAGCTCCATTTCTGTTTTTTTGGGGTTTTTTTTTCCTTTACACTAGTTGAAAATGCCACCTTAGGCATTTGATAATGACCAAACCAACAGCACTGGTCTAAAATTACTTGGAATAAAATTGGTGTTACCGTCATGTCCATTAAACGTTTTTGGAGACACAAGGTTTTCTTATAATAGCGACTATACTGAACATTGACACTGAAGTTTTCTATTGTGTGCATTTTTTTCAGTTTTTTTTCATCTAATACTTAATATGCTAATATTTAAGAAATTTCTTCTGTATTCTTGTATTGATACAAAATGTTCATTGTTAGTCCCCCTTTCATACTCAGCATTCAGAAAACCCATTTAAAATCCTGAAGGTGTTTCTGTATAAAGAGCAGCCATTTTAACACGGTGCTACAGATTAAATTTAACGTTGTGAAAAGATGACCTTTGTTCAGCTTTACATAGTCTGTAATTCTTGGACCTGTAAATATGATCCTACATCAGTCCTAAGCTGCTTTTTCTACAACACTGAATGTTTGGCTAACAATGCTTTATATCCACTCACCCTTTTTCACCTACGTGTGTGTTTGGAATTTTTTGTTTTGTTTTGTTTTGTTTGTTTTTGACAGACTGTGACCTTTGTACTGCAAAAAGACAAAAAAATCATTTTCATTCTTAAATTGTACAGATTGGGCCTACACATCCATGTGCACCACATCTTCCTTAGTAAATCTCTATTTATTTTCCTCAAAAAACTGTAAATTCACCTACCGTCGAGGCTATATGAACTTGTGGACTTGAATTGACTCTGTGGATATAATGAAAGTGTTGGGACCCTGCAGCTGGCCCTGTATTAATTCTCCTATATTAAAATACTGTGGTAGTGTTCCAATCCCATCCAGCAGGTTTCCATGCCTCGTATCATGCTTATTACACTCTGAGAAAGGGCGAGTGGAGAAGTCTCGATGGCTCAGTCCCAAATTGCACTCTTCTCCCAGTGCCCTCCTGCACATTTCAGTTGTCCTTTTCCTGCTTTGCCCAGAAATGTGTTCTTTCGTAGTAACAGTTGCTAAGCTGGACAAGCTTTTCTGAACATTGGCAAAAACTGCATGAGTTTGGGTTTGAGTTTAGAGTCACTGTTTAAAATGCTACACAACTGAGCTGTACTATGTTGTAGCTAATTGAAATTAGAGGTTGGAGCCTGATTCTGATACCATCATAACAGTGTGGCTTTCCACATGCATACAAATTAAATATAGAGATTAAAAAACGCACTAAATGTAGGTATTTTACCAAAGGTGAGTTACAGTTCATCATTGAGTTCAATGGGACTTTTCCTAAGATCCTATATAGCTTGTTCCTTCTAGCAACAGTTGCTACTTAAGACCTGATTTGTGGGTGTAGCATGAAAAAATCTATTCCAGGTAATTTATCCAAGCTAGGGATAACTAATCTTGTCGCTCTATTGCTGTCTAGTAACTTTAGGTCTGTAATTTGGCCTCAGGGAAGGGGGAAGGGGATCATTTGTGGATTTTGCCCTAAGATTTTTTCTTCTCCCTCCCACTTAAGTCTGTACAACACAGATGTATAGATATATGATGCAATGAAATGAACATCTCGTCATTTTTTCTTTAATAAATAACGTTTTTTAAAAAACGTCTTGTCGTTTTCTACATCATAACCTTATTTATCTTTATCAAAAAGCTTTCCCTGATTGGGTTATAGTGTCACGTGGTTAGTAAATGTGTAAGGGACACGCCCACGCAGGTTGTGCTATGGAAAATTTAGGAAGTAGCTGAAAATGAGCGCGACTTTGCTGAAATCTTCAGCTAAATAACTGCAGTGAAGGTTTAGGTCCAACACGGAGGACGACAAGCTACAGCAAGACAAGCAAGTAGCAAACAGACCTCATTAGCGCACCTGACTGTTCGCTTTGTTGGCCTCTGTTCGCTCCGTTTGCCGCCCGAATCCCAACTAGCCCATCATGATCTGTGTAGAGCGGCACGGGGAGCAGACAGGCCTCTCAGGGTTACCTACCGTGGGGGTGCGAAGTGGGGGTGTCCGGATAGTGGGCTGGTCCTAGAGTTCCTATTGGTCAAAAGTGTTGTCAGTCACACACGAGGAGGGTCGTTTACCTAAATCATGCTGGGTAGCCTACGTTAAATTTTGTATAAGGAATATACAACCAATTCTCCATCAATCTGAAGAACCATTTAAGCAGAAAAGGGCTCTATATAGAACTTCTGGTTCTACCCAGAACCATTCTTTTTACTTAATAACTATTCAAGAACCATCTTTTTTTGAGAGTGTGGAGTTTACTTTAGCAGCTAAATGGTGTATAAGGAAAAACACACAGAGCTTGTTGTGATTTGTGTAAAAATGATGTTGTTTTGGGTAGTTTAACCATAAATGAACGTCTGACATTTTTGACGTCACTTCAATGCCTTTATCATTTGGATTTTCTGTTTTCTCAAAAATCAGTAGTCCCATTTGATATGATACAGTAATTTAAATTCACTTTATAATCGTATGGCCATATAGGCATTCATAATAATAATAATAATAAGAACAACAACAACAATTAATAATAATAGATTAGTGGTCAAATTGTAGATGCGTTCATTTAAAACAAACAATTGCTGCTCCCTCTTCCCTACATAGTGCACTACGTAAGTCATGAAGCTATATGGCTTCTACGCCCAAATAATGCACTAAATGCTAAACAGGGAGACATGCTCCCCATGGCTGAATCCTAAATGGCATCCTACCAGACAAACTATTCACTATCTGGGTCTAAAGGTTATTTCAGGACCTACTTAGTGCACTACATTGTGAGTGAGGAGACAATTGAGACTGAGCCTTCATTAAGGTTCCCTGCTAAACCAGACGAACGACGTCCATCATGTTTCACCGTCACAGTAGTGCTTAGATAACTGCTTTTTTGTTTGTTTGTTTGTTTGTTTACAGTTTGTTCACACTCACAAGACAGTAAACTCTCTTCTGAGTGAACTACATTGTATTAACTGACAGTTTGTGCAAACGAGGGTGAAGAAATCAGCTGCAACAAAACAACTAAAGACAGCTTATTTCTTTCGGCACCGGAAATAACGTTTACTGTAAGTACATTTACCTGCCAAATGTGTGAAGAGTGACTCGAGGCCCAGCTGAAGTCCAGCTCCTTCCAAAGCACTTAGAAACTACTAGTTCAAACAAACCATAGACTAAGCGTTGTGAGGAGCTTGTTGTTGTACTGTTAGGCCACACGGTGGCGCAAGTTGCCAAGAGGAGGACAGGCGAACCTGAGGGGAGGGTGTAGGCAGGAGTGCTTATCTCGAGTTATCGAGTTATTCTCATTTGTGAATGTGACTGGAATCCAGCCATTATCTAAACCACAGTGACACTGAGACAAAGCTGTCTCTGAACAGCGGCCATCACAGTGAAGTACACCCAGAGTAGGAAAGCTGGACGGCGCTGATCCCGGAGGCGATGATGAGTGGAACGTCATGGCTGATCTGAGATCAGGTCGTAATGGTGAAATGGCGAGCGTGTGGACTGGAAGCGATGGGAAAAGGATGTGTGGTCTGCTTTAGCTATCAGAGAGAGGAGCTAAATGACTGTGACACAAATCACAGCTTCCTGGGGAAAATACACACACACACACACACACACAGTGCTGCAGGCTCAGGCTTTGAATGATCACACAGCCATAATCTAATCCTGTCTGCAGGTTGCTTAGCTCTTTCATGCGGACTAAATGTTGCTAGGATGACGAAAAAACGTTATCATTTGATGTTATGGGGACATGTTGGTGGTCCGCATGAGAAAAATTGCTTTTCACCGAGAGGAAATGCATCGTCAACTTAAAGGAATTCCGAATTTCTGCATAATTAAATGTCTGACCTAAACAAAGTCATTCAGAGTGTTTTGGTGAGAAAAGCTCCATTCTAGAGAAACTTGGACTCAGAGTTGTTCACAGTGGTGGTGATAGGAACCAGGTGTCCGAAGCGTTTTAATGCCTCTAAACGCTCCATCACTGAAAGTTATTACCTGAAACGTTTATGAATGTGCTGCCTGACGTCTGAGACATTCTTTTTTACGACAGTTTGGAGATGAGCTCTAGGCCTAACAATGTTTAGACTCCATTCGTGGTGAAGGGGTACTTGCAGGGTGGTGTTGTAAGGCAAAATATTTCCCACATAAAATGTATTATTTTGGATTTTCCACTATTTTACCACCATCAGCTCTACATACAAAAGCTCAAAAGACTTGTGTAGATTTACTGGTGATTTTTGATTGGAAATGAAATGACTATATTTGTGTTACAGACATTGCGACCCCTGGTTCCTGTCGTCACCACTGTTAGGAAATCAGAGTCAGTAAGTTTCTCTACGAGGAACCGTTTCACATCAAACCACTCTGAATTATTTTGTTTACATCACAATCACTGAATTGTGCAGATATTTTGGAAAAAATCTGTGGGTTTTCCCTGTAAGTTGTTTCATATTTGGAACATTGAATGACATCATTAAAACTAGGGATGCACAATGATATTGAAGTTATATAAGATGTTTGCTTAATAATTTGCTGCATCAGACAGATGATTAGATTTGACCAGTGTTTCAATCTGATATGTGATGATGTATTTATTGTACTCTGGAAGAGCAGAATGTTCAGGTGATGACCATCTAAGCTACTGTGCTAAAATGTTCTCATTTTATTCATTTTACTGCATTTGTAGGCCTGTAGAAGTAAAGGTTATATTTCTCTGTAATGCTGGGCAGATGTAGTTTTCACTTTGTAAACGTTTCAGCATTGGTATGGACAGACATTTACATTAAACGTGTCAGATATCTTCAGCCCCCAAATTCCTATTTTGATGCCTGAATGAAAACCTATACTGCCCAGCATTTGCTCTGTTATCAGTATGTACTGTTGCGTTTGTGGTCGTGTCCTTTCGTGCACCATGACATGTCAGTTTGTATGAGCAATTGGCTCTGCAGTAAGAGCGTGGGCCTGCGCATGATCAAATGCCTGTGTGCTTGTCTCTGAGTCTCCACTGCAGCTGAAGCCAGCGTGTGCACACGGTGACTTTGCAGAGGGTCTTGCTGAGCCGGGTGTGTGCGCTGACTCTGTCTGGCTCGTATGTGTGTGTGTCTTGCATGCGGATGTGTGTCAGTGTTTCTGCCTCCTCATCCCTGCCTCCCTCGCTCTTTCTCTCTCTCTCTCTCTCTCTCTCTCTCTCTCTCTCTTCAGCAGCAGAAGCAGCGTCCCCTCTTCTCTTCTTCTCCTTGTATATCTCCACTTCGCTATGCTCCTGTGGATGCAGATGAGTGAAATGGCTCTGGAGGAGCTCCTGAGGAGGCTCGACGCTGTCATGCACGGCATCGGTAGGAGGAGCTGGAGTGTGCATGTGGTCGTGTTTGTATTTGAATGACTTTACCTTCGTAGTGTCATTGTGAAGGAGAGGGCTGGTATCCTATCTCTGTTTGTTGTGGATGTGTTTATGTATATTTGTATTGTATTTAGCCATTACACTGTACAGTATCATATTAATGCTGATTGTACATCTCAGTAAGCATCTCCAGTTACTTACACTTCACAGTGTTCCAGCTACCTGAATTCAAGCAGGTGCTACTTTCTGCTGCATTTTGACTGCACATTATAAATGATATAGAATTGAGACATGCTAACAGATTCAGATTCACCTTATTTCCTGCCCACTGAATTCCAATGGAAATTTCCACAGAGAGATCCACAACCTCAGAGGCTGTCATTTGGTCAGTAAATGTTTGATGTCAGAAGTTTGGTCTTTTATGTTTGCACTGGAGCTATTAGGCTAATAAAGCTAACAAGTAATAGAGGTTTACATCTCACTAATTAGCATCAAGCAAACTGCA